AGTCATAAAATATCTATCAACTCAAATACATTTTTAGAATTTCATAGGAAAACATTATAAGCAAAGTCGAAATAAACCAACAAATTGAGCTAAAAAGATGTTTACAGCTAGTATCAAAACTAGCTAATCTCACTAATACATAATAAGAGCTCCTAGATGTCAAAAACAAAAACACTAGAAAAATGGGCAGATAAAATGACAGTTCACAGACAAGGAAGCCCGTGACTCCTAAACATATTATCGGATGTTCAACCTCACTCAAAATAAGAGAAATACAAATTAAAAGATTTCAAGGTAGCTCTCTTTCCCATCTTGCAAGATGGTGGGTGAAAACGTTGAGAAGAAGCCAGATACTAAAGAGAAGAAACCTGAAGCCGAGAAGGCTGATGCCAAGAAGGCTGGTGCCGGTGGCAAAGTGAAAAAGGCTAACCTCAAGGCTAAAAAGGTTAAGAAGGGGAAGCCACACTGCAGCGCAATCCTGTTCTCGTCAGAGGAAAGGGCCGATATTCCCGATCTGCCATGCGCTCTAGGAAGGCCATGCACAAGAGGAAATACTCAGTGGCTAAATCCAAGGTTGAAAAGAAAAAGAAGGAGAAGGTCCTCGCCACTGTTACAAAACCAGTTGGTGGTGACGAGAATGGTGGCACTCGGGTGGTTAGACTCCGCAAAATGCCTAGGTACTATCCAACCGAAGATGTGCCTCGAAAGCTGTTGAGCCACGGCAAAAAAACGTTTAGTCAACACGTGAGAAGACTGCCAGCTAGCATCACCCCCGGGACCATCCTCATCATCCTCACCAGACGCCACAGAGGCAAGAGGGTGGTTTTCCTGAAGCAACTCGGCAGTGGCTTGTTACTTGTGACTGGACCTCTGTCCCTTAATCGAGTTCCTCTGCGAAGGACACACCAGAAATTTGTCATCGCCACCACCACAAAAATTGATAGCAGCAATGTGAAAATCCCTAAGCATCTCACCGATGCTTACTTCAAGAAGAAGCAGCTGCGGAAGCCCAGACACCAGGAGGGTGAGATCCTCGACACAGAAAAGGAGAAATATGAGACTACAGAACAGCGCAAAGTGGATCAGAAAGCTGTGGACTCCCAAATTTTACCAAAAATCAAGGCAATTCCTCAGCTCCAGGGCTATCTGCGATCTCGATCTCCGTTTGCCCTGACAAATGGAATTTATCCTCACAGATTGGTATTCTAAATTTTTACAAAGAACCTAATTAAATAACTGAAAGATAAAAAAAAAAAAGATTTCAAGGTAATTCAATGGTGAAAAGTTAGCTTTTAAACAAAAAGTGACAGAGCATTTGGATATCTACATGGGAAAAAAACCCAAATCTCAAACTTTAACTCACACCAAACACAAAAATTAATTCAAAAATGGATCATAGACCTACAAGTAACAGCTGAATCTATAAACTTTTAGAATAAAGCACAGAAGAAAACCTTCAAGACATTGGGATAAGCAAAGATTTCCTAGACCGGACACAAAACCTCTAACCATTAAAAGGTTCTAAATTGAACTTGATCAAAATTTAAAACTTTTGCTCTTCAAGTAGAACACTAAAAAGCTAGAAAGACAAGTTACAGACTGGGAGAAAATATTCCTGCTAAAAGACTTGTGTCTAGAATATTTTAAGAAATCTCTCTCTCTCCCTCTCTCTCTCTCTCTGTCGCCCTCCCTCCTCCCTCCCCTCCACTATATTGCCCAGGCTGGCTTCAAATAGTAGGACTCAAGGTATCCTCCCATCTCAGGAGTAGCTGGGACTACAGGCATAGAGGCATGGACCACGGTACACAGCCATAATAAGATCTTTTTTTTTTTTTTTGAGACAGAGTCTCACTCTGTTGCCCAGGCTAGAGTGCCGTGGCGTCAGCCTAGCTCACAGCAACCTCAAACTCTTGAGCTCAAGGGATCCCCCTGCCTCAGTCTCCCAAGTAGCTGGGACTACAGGCACGTACCACCACACCAGGCTAATTTTTCTATTTTTAGTAGAGATGGGTCTTACTCTTGCTCAGGCTGGTCTCTAACTGAGCTCAAGCGATCCTCCCACCTGGACCTCCCTAGAGTGCTGAAGTGCTAGAATTACAGGTGTGAGCCACCGTGCCCAGCCCCATATTAAGAACTCTTAAAGCTCAATAATATTAACAGCCCATTTTTAAGTGGGCAAAATATTTGAACAACATTTCACAGAAGACATATGCCCAATACATACATGAAAATAGCTCAACACTATCAGTCACACCCACTAGAGGCGTTAATTGCGAGTGGTCAGCAGGGCCGCGGAAGGTCTGTGGTCGCCTGAGGCGGGAGGTGGTGAGCTCTGGCCCGGCAGGGAGGGGGCTTGTGAGGGCGCGGAGATGTACACTGGAAAAAGTTTAATGACGCACTGTATTGGCATGGCTATAAGAAAAAGCACTCTCAGTCACTGATGATGGGAGTGTAGATTGGTATAATTCCCAGACAGGACATTTTGACAATATTTATTAAATCACAATTCCTTCCACTCGTAGGATTTTATCTTATATTAATAGATAAACTCAATGACAAGTGAAATGACACATGTTAAAGATTATTCACTGCAACAGTGTTTCAAGTAGCAAAACACAAGAAATAATCTAAATGTCCATCAATACAGGACAGATTAAATGAATTATGATACATCCATAGGATGGAATCCTATGTAACTGGGAAAAAGAATACAGAAAGTCTGCCTGTGTTAACATGGAAAGATCTTCAAGTGGGTAATGTTAAGTGAACAAAGCAACATTGTGTGTCTGTGGCCATTTATATAAAAACAACAACAAACTCCCAAAAGGTATATATTTGGATTTTCTTGTATATATGTTTTTTCTAAAAAAAAAATAATTTCTCGAAGAATAACCAAGATACTAATAGCAGGGAGGAAGGTGTGAGAAACATGTGGATGACGTCCGGAGTATGAGGGATAATTTTCATAGTAAGTCTTTTTAATCTTTTAAAATTTTTGAACCATATGAGTACATTAGCCAATCAAAATTCAAAGTTATTTAAAAATAACACATATCAGTATATTGACTAGCATAACATAACTATTATCATTATTCACCAGGTTATCAAGGAAAAGTAATATACATGAAGTGTCTAGTGCAGTAGAGTCATACATTCGGCAAACCACGACGGTCACTACTTCGACCCGGGCACACACACATCCGCCCCACGCTCCAGGATCCCTTCCCCGTTCCCGAAGCAGAGACGCCCGGCTGCCTTTCAGCCCTGCGCTCGCAGGCGCTTCCCTCCGCCACACGTCCTTCCCGTCCCTTCTCATCGCCCACGTGGCTGCGCTGTGCAGGACGTCACCTCCTCAGGGAAGCCCTCCCTGCCCACACTCAACCCCTGGGGTCCGTCATCCTCCCTCCCGCGGGTCCCAGTCCCGGAGTGCTGGCCCGGGCGTGCGCGCCCTCCCCAGGGCGCCTTCCTGGGGTCTGTCATCCTGCCTCCCGCGGGTCCCAGTCCCGGAGTGCTGGCCCGGGCGTGCGCGCCCTCCCCAGGGCGCCTTCCTGGGGTCTGTCATCCTCCCTCCCGCGGGTCCCAGTCTTGGAGTACTGGCCCGGGCGTGCGCGCCCTCCCCAGGGCGCCTTCCTGGGGTCTGTCATCCTGCCTCCCGCGGGTCCCAGTCCCGGAGTGCTGGCCCGGGCGTGCGCGCCCTCCCCAGGGCGCCTTCCTGGCTGGCGGGAGGCCTCGCCCTCCACTCACGCAGACAGCGGGAAAGTTTCGGTTTCCCGTAAACGTTGACTTCCTACGCCCACGGAGAACATCTCGGGAGTTTCGGTTTCCCTACGTTTCGATATCGTTTTTCCCGCCACCCTGTCCCCGCGCAGGCGCGCGCTTTCCCGGCGAGGCCCGGCGTCCCGTCCCGTGCGCTGCGTGCGGCTGCGGCGCAGGGAATCCCGCCGGCGCGGCCCGCAGGCCCCCGCGACAGCACAGCAACAGGCGGCGCGGACTGCGCAGGGACAGCTGCGGTGGAAGGGTGCCGGGCGAGAACACAGAGGACCATGCTGCACTGGGCCTCGACCGGTGGCCGCGGTGTGGCCGGTGGGGACTGCAGGGCGGTTTTCGGACAGACAGGCCCTGCTGGAAAGCCCGGGAGGACGCAGCAGGCCCCCAGATGAGCAGAGGGGTTAGCAGCAGGTGCTGCAGGCTGGGACTCGAGGGAGGGGCTCTAGGAACAGGCCCCCAGTGGCGCTGGTGAAGGCAGTGGGGTCTGTGCTGGGCTTCAGCGAGGGCCTCAGGCGATGTGGAGGACCCACGGAGGGAAAAGGCAGCGTGTGGCAGGGCAGGGAACAGAGGGGCGTGTGGACCGAGCTGGAACCTGTAAGGGGGACAGAGCCGTGGGGGAAGTGGGGAGGGGCCAGAGGACCCGCTGAGGGCTGTTCTTAAAGGGGAGGCTCTAATTTTCGTGGTTGTGTTTTGCTCTCCCCACTAGTCTCTCCAGGAAGTAAGCTAGCTTTCTTAGACTAGAGAAGCCACAGCACCCCCTTGGGGAACAAGGGTGTGGGCTGGGGCACTGGAGCAGAAATCCGGGCTGGCTCCTCAGGCCAGGCCTCCATGACTGTTTTCTTCCCTCAGCCAGTGGACAATGGTGACTGGGGTGTATGTGGGGAGAAGCTGACAGTGGCCCCAACTCCCCTCTTGAATGGGTTATGTGCCCCCGCCTGCCCACCATTAAGTTACCACACGTTGGCAGGACCAGCTCTGGCATGCTTGCACCTCGATTTCCTGGCGACCCTGCTCCCCAGCTACAAAGAGGAACAGAGAGCTCCCCACCCTGCCCCACCCCACCTCCACTCCCAGGGGCTTTGAGATGCTCAGGAAGAATTTCAAATATTGTGAGGGTCTGTGCCAGCCCCCAGGGCCTTGGTCCCTGCCTGGGCCAGCAGGAGGAGCATTACCTTGTGGGCTCCCCAGCCCACCCCACACCCCGAAGGGCCCCACCACCACCACCACTTCTCTCCTATACATTGTAAACACATTTATTTGTCTGAGGTTGGTGAACCTCTGGTAAAAAGCACAGGATGCAGGGCTCTCCTTCATGCTGCCCTGAGCCAGCTCATCAGCATGCAGGACGGACCTGGGAGACAGTCCAGGCAACTTGGGGAGCAGCGCCAGGGAAGCAGCAGACCTGCTCTTCCCCATGGCCCCTCCCCACTGGCCCAGGCCTGGACTGCAAGCAGGAAGGCGGCAGGCCCAATCCCCAGACAGACGCCAGGCTGCAGTGGCCTCTTCTTGGAGGCTGTTCCTTCTCCTCCCACCCCCCATGATGCCGCCTTGGAGCTTAGAGCCTGAGCCACGCGCTTGTTCCTTCACACCGGGACCAAGTCAGCTCAGGCAGGCTGTTTCTGTGGGTCCTGCCTCTCCAGTCAGGAAGCCTGCTGGGGGCAGGCCTGGCTCTCCTGTCATCACTCCACTACTCAGCTCAGGGCGGGGCACTCCCCTGGGCACGGGGATAGGCAAAGGCTTGTCCAGAGAAACACTGGAGAAGCACAGGGCAGCCTGACCCAGCCTCTCCCAGCCTCCATCTGTGGGCTACTGGCTGGGCCTGAAACTCCCCACAGTACAGACCAATGCCTCCTCCTCCAAGAAGCACCCCTGGCTTGGTGCCAGGCTCAGGGCTGAGCCAAGGATGGTCAGCCAAGGCTGCTACTTCAGGGCCCTGAGGACAGCCTCCAGCTTCATGGCCACAGCCAGGTCACCCTTCACCCTCAGCCGCCCACTCATGTAGGCCCCCAGGGGCCGCAGCTCCCTGCACAGCAGGGCCCGCAGGTCTACCTCCGTCATCTCCACCACCACGTCAGGGGTGCCGTCAGGTACCCCATGGCCCACCTTTCCTTGCCCTGTGGGGAAAAACAAAGCTGAGTATTAGTAGAGGGACAGCTATGGGGGAGGCAGGGCTTATCCTGTCCCATTGGGAGGAGTAGAGAGTACTGGTTAAGAGTTCAGGTGCTAACACCCTGGGCTTGGTCCTGTCAGTTGTGTGACTACTTGGAGCCTCGGTTTCCAAATCTGAGAAACAGGGATGATGATAATCTCTAAATCATAGGTGAGATGTAGGTAAGGTAACGCACCAAAGGTGCTCCGCACAGAGCCCTGCTGCAGGGCCCCTGGTATTAGAAGCCCAGCCATCAGAGTTGTCCTGCCGACAGCAGGAGACCAAGGCCTGGACTATTGCTATCTAGAAATGGTGTCTGAGCCTGACTGCTGTGGGTTCGCCCCTAACTGTTGGCAGGAGCAGGGATGGTCTAAAACAGCGCCATGGGGGAGGGCAACCTGGGTGGCAAGGAGGGCACCGAGGGCAGCCGCACCTGTAGTGAGGTCCAGGAAGTAGATACTCTGGGTGCCGCTAGGCAGGACAACATTGAACTGGTAGCAGGCCCCGACCTGGCTGACCAGGGCCTCGGACAGGAAGGGCTGTAGAGCAGTCAGCAACCCCTCGGCCACAGGCTGCTTCGGGCTGGACCCAGCACCGACCTGAGTGACAGGCAGCTCAACTTCACTCACCATCTCCAAGGTGTCCGCTGGGGGTGGCCAACGGGTGGGGAGGGAGGCAGAGAGAAAGAGGTCAGTATCACTCACTGGGGCCTCTGTGCCTTTTGTGGCAGTTTTCTCTTATATCCCCTTCAGGCCTCTGTTCAACCTGCTCCTCTGCTAAAATGCTGCCCCTGGATTTTCAGCCTAAACCCCCAACCCTGTTTAAGCTGCTCCGGCCTCACATGTAAAACTCCTTCCAGCTATCCTTCTGGCGCTGTCACCTCCTCCCACGGAGGCTGTCAAAGGCCTCTACACACTCGCAGACATCTGGACTCTTCTCACTGCCTTAGCTCTGGCCACCTCTAGAATCAGAGTGGGCTGAACACCTGGGCTGTGCACTGAATGGCACTGCTTGGTTAAGGGAACAAGTAGCAAAGTCTGTGCTGGACACCAAGTGTGGGAGCACCTCCACCCTCCTCCCTTAGGCTCCTCACCTGGCCCAGGAGGAGGGGCGCCGCCTGCCAGGAAGTGGAGGGCCAGCTGCTGGAGGGTGCTATCCAGGCTAGGCCCGCCTGGGCTGTCCTGGGGCGGCTGGAGCACGGCCTCCACTGCCAGCTCCACTCGGTCCACCTCCAGCCCCCAGGCCCTGGTCACGTCATTGATCTCCAGCTGGAGGACAGTGTTGGGAGAAATGAATTAATTCAACAAACCTTTCCTGAGCAACATTTTTGGTCAGACCAGTACGACCACCCGTGGCCAGAGACACCACATTAGCCCTTGAGAAGCTCCCAGCCAGGAATGCCGGCAGAGGGCAATCACCACGCACCTACGGTAAGTGCCAAGGCAGGAGGGAGGGCGGTGGGGAGCCCCAGCAGAGGGGGTGAAGCCAGCAGGAGGGGGGATTCTTCAGGTGGAGGAGGACCCTTCCAGGCAATGGGACCAGCATGTGTGAAAGCCTCGACAGGAGAACCTAGAATATTCAAGGAGCTGGGAGTAACCAGAGTTCTGGTTAGTCAGATCCTCAGGTGTGGGCTGGGGACGGGAGACAGCTGAGGGGTCAGAGACGGGTTATTCCTGCTAGCCTGGATTCATTCCAAGGAGCCCCAGCAAGGAGTTTAAGCAAGGAGGTGACGGAGCAGACTTGCTTTCTGGAAAGATCCTGCTGGCTGCTGTGTGGACACTACTTGGAGGGGCGGAGGGTGGAGGCACGGAGACCAGGACATCGTTTTAGGCTGCAGCCAAGACATGATGCAGATCAGGTGCAGGACAGGGACAGGCCGTGAAGCCCAGATGCACTGAGGGAGACACAACCCTGCCAACCGTACCCAGCTCCAGCAAGATGCTGGGGAAGCATGACCACGGGCCCACGCTGCCTGGATGTGCCTCACGGGAGGGCTGTGGGGAGGGGGAGGAGTCAGTGTTTGGCGCGGGTTCCTGAATGGACCGTGAGCGTGGCATTCACCTAGAGAGGACACACAGTGGGTGGGAGGACAGGAATAATTTTTTTTAAATACTATAAGCTTGAGGTATCTATAGGCTGGTCAACTGTCCAGTAGGCAGCTGGAGAAACAGGCCCAGAGTGCAGGAGCAGAGTGCTGTGAATAAGTGGTGTCCAGATGTAGCAGGACCCCCCAGGTGGATGAGCTTTCCCAAGAGGTCACAGATGAGGTCACAGAGTGGAGGAGGAGGAGGAGGACGCAGAGGTGGCTGGGCTGCCGTGAGCTGAAGTAAGGGAGGAGCTGAGAACTGAGAAGTGCCCACTGGGGTGGCAAGGGGGAGGTCACCATGATGTTGGCCAGTGCTGTCTCAGCAGCTGAGAAACCCAGACTAAGAGTGGGGTGTGGGATGGAAGCCTCATGGGAGGAAAGTGGAGAGGGGGTGGGAGCAGACTGGGGCAAAGGGAGGCACATTTCTATGCAGAAAGGAGAGGAAAGACGGTGAACAGGGAGGAAGGGTGTCCTGGGAGAGGAAGAGGACCCAGAGAACTGCGGGGACAGGACTCAGTGGGAGGAAGAATGCAGGAAATGAGGCAGAAGAACAGTGCAGAAGTAGATGGGTTTGAAGGGGTGAAGCTGGAGGAGGCTGAAAGAGTGCTCATCCTCAAGTCCTTCCTCTTGTGCTGCACAGCGACAGGGCGGGGGCTGGAGGAGGGCATTGAAGGGGTGAAGTGGCCACCTGGAGCACTAGTGGGCAAGGAGTGGGTGGTGGCTAAGGAGCGTCTAGCAGGTGAGAGGTGGGGAGTCTGCAGTCCCTCCAGATAAAGAGTAGGGGAAAAGGAGAGTAAGAATGAGAAATGTACACTTGAACCAGGTGTTGAGGGTGGTGTGCTGGATTTGCCAAGCTTTTGTTCTAACCACAGGCACTGACATCACTCTACCAGGGACCAGCTGAGTCTGGACAAGGGGCCCTAAATGACTTGCACGTCCTGGTGTGAAACTGACTTCCCCAAACTGCCTCTCTCATATGAAAGCAATGTGCAACAGGCCTAGATCAATTTTCTCTTCCTAAAGGTGAATATGAGATGTGGTTTTATGATAAATATTGTTATCTATTTGTTATCTGAGTTGTGCTATACTGAACTCTGGGTTGCACGGGGTGGGGGAGTAGAAGGCCAGGTGGTCTGGCTGTGGCTCCACTCTGCCCTTGAGCATGATCAAATTATTTCTGAGGCCTTTCCTTCATCCCCTTGGTGGTGGGGGGCCCCTGATGGGGACCCTGGAGGGCCAAGGAAGGAGGCTGGCAAGTTTCCTCCCTCCAAAATAAAACAGTAATACCAGCCCTCTTATAGCAACAACGTAAAGCTGAGACATACTGGTGCAGACAAAAGGACTTCGTAAACCAAGAAATGCTATACCAGGACAGCTATTGTTAGGATCACAAATAGTATTTTTGCAGGAATTTCACCTAGCTAACTGCTTGCCAGTTTGCTTCCTGAAGGGATCGGGCCTCTAGAACTGGTGTTTATCCCACTCCCTCTTGGGCCTCTACCCCAATTCCCCTGGGGAAAGCAGAGCGGAGAGCAATGAGGAAAAACTTCACCCACATTCCCCTGTCAGGACATGGGAGGAGGCACAAGTTGAAGCGGCTATAAGGCCACACACATGCTGCCACGTGTGTTTTTATTTCTGCCCCATCTTGTAGTAGAAGGGATTTTAGGTGAATTCATGTAGATAATTGCCCATACTCATGAAGAAAAGGCAGGAAAGAGATCCAAATGTCCTCTTGTCCCTTTGTTCTGTTCCCAAAAGGAAACCAAAACCACAAGAATGCACATGCTACACCTTGAGCGTGGAATTCCCCAGAAGGTAGCTGGGCTGGGCGGGTCGTTTCCTTCACCACCTGCCTACCCTGTGAATCAGATCCGGAAGGGGGACTGCAGAGGCCCAGTGCCATCATGGCAGAGCAGTGAAGGGTATAATCTCAGCAGCCACAGGCAGGGCCCCAAGCATTTCTGCTGGGGCCACTTCCCCTTCTCAGGGAACTTTTGCCCAAGATCGCTATGGTTTGTACCCACCTTCTGTTCCTCAACTCGTAGCCCCACCCCGATGCTGGCTCTTCGAGGTGGTTACACTCTGGGGACATGGAGTACACTGAGGCCATGAGGGCCATGAGGCTTTGCTCACAGTGACTGCAGGTGGAGCCAGCCCCGTGCCAGCCACCGCGCCCCGTGTGGAGCTGCCTACCAGGAGCTGGTCGCTGATCCTGAGCTTCTCCATCTGGATCTCCCGCAGCGGCCTCTTGAGCAGGGCCTTGGTCATGGCGTTCTGGGCTGTCATGCGCGTGGCTGTGTTCAGGTCCTTCACAGTCATCACCGACAGCACCGGGTCCCAGATACGAAACTGGACGTCGGCCCCCACGGACAGCACAGCCCCATCCTTGGAGGCCAACTGTTGGGGGAGGCCGTGAGAGAGGAGACACTCAAGGGGCTGGGGCTGCAGGGAGGCCAGGTCCACTGGGGCCACCCAGCATGACCCACCCACCTGGCGGCTAGCTCGTCCCCAAGTATGTGGGGCTAGGGGTAAGGTACAAGGACATTCTCCTAGCCTCCATCCATTTTCTGTTCTCTTCTCTCCCTCCCCTCCAGGGGCCAAGGTCCTGGCACCCACAATATACTCTGCACAAGACCCCACTTCCTCTGTCCAGAGCAGCTGAGAAGCCCCTCACCTTGCAGGGAGGGACACTGAAGGCTCGTGTCCTCAGATCTACCCTCTGAAAGGAGTCAATGAAGGGCAGGAGCAGAACCATGCCAGGGCCCTGGGGCGTGCGGATCCGGCCCAGGCGGAACACGATCATCCGCTCATAGGTGGGCACGATCTGTCCACAGTGGCAAGAGAAAGGGTTGAAAATGGTCAGCTGGCTGGCAATGACATTTGCCCAGGTATCCTAAGGATAGTCAGGTATCCTTAATTCTGTTTTTAGATGAGAAAACCAAGGCTCAGAAAGGTTAGGTGACTTGCTCAAAAATCACAACCCCTAAATGAAATAAGCAAAGTCTGAAACCAGTTCAAAGGCCATGCATCTCAGCCACCACACTGCACTGACTTGATCCTTAGAGAAACTTCACCTCTGCAGTCTGAGCTAGACATGACTCACCCCAGGAAGCTGTTTGCCCTGGATGGATTAGTTAGGGAAAAAGGCTGGGTTACTCTAATAACACCCCCAGGCAAAGGACTTTGCCACCCATCTTCAGGTCCTTGGAGCCCTTAGAAAAGCAATTATGTCCCAATTAAGAAATGAAAGCCCAGAGAGGCAAAGCAAATTGCCCAAAGTCACACAGCATTTGTTTCTGTGGCAGTTTTAGGACTAGGATCTAGGAACTTTTAAGGAATCCCTCCTAGAGGCTTTCTAGAGAAGTTGACTGTTGCCTAGGGCCACACAAAGGGCAAGGCCTGCCTGATCTTCCACCTTCACCCCAGGTTTTAGGTATGATGCTGAACTATAGCTCTAGTATTCATCCTTTTCCCAACTGCACCACCCTGTATTGGAAACCAGGCTTGAATTCCTATTATGCATTAAATCCTGCTGGGCCAGACTGAGTGTTTTCTTTTCTAATTTAGTCTAACCCAGAGGGAGGATGATTTGGCAAAGATATCTGTGCATACCTTAAAGCCAGTGTCCAGATCCAGAAATTGGGAATTTAAGTAGACTTGTTTCTACCCCTTACTGGCTCCCAGTATGACTCTGGACAAGTCTGAGCCTCAGTTTACTCATCTGAAAGATGGGAATGAACAATCCTTGCCTAGCCCATTTCACAGAGGTGCAATAATACAATGTATGGGGAAAGTGGAGCAGAGGATGGGGAAATTCATTCATCAATGCCAAAGCTCTCAGTGTGGCCCAACCACCCTGGGGACTGACCCTGCCAGCCTTACCTTCAAGGCAAACCAGCCAGAAATTGGGAAGGTGACCAATAGCAGCAAGAACCCCAGGAAACTGATGAAGCCATGGCAGAGGCAGGAAGGCCAGCTCTGGGGTGCATCTGGGGGCAAGAGAAAAGAGCAGTCAGGGAAGACCAACTGGGCCTGGCAGAAACGCTGCAAGTAGAGTCAACTTGGGTGTACCTTTTGCCCGCCTTCCCCTTTAGAGGCTCCCTCCTTCTCAGAGCTCTCAATTTGGCCCCTCACCCAATGCCCCCTTATCTTTGGGCAGATTCTAGTTAGGGATTGTTCCCTCCTCCCAGACATCAACACTAATCTGTTCCAAGTCCAACAACCCTCACAAGGCCTCACTCTCTGCTAGGCAACAGCCATTGAATCCAATCCATGTGAGAATCCAATCCATGTGATGCTCTCTTCACTGGACTGAGCAGGAGTCAGTCTCCTCATCTAATTTATATTGCCCACCCATACCTGGCACAGACCCAGGAGCACTTGGGCATGTGTAAAAGTGCTGGGGTGAACTGAATGCTGATGGCATTACACATTCCTCCTCTACCATCAGCCCTCTACCAGAAGCCTGCTTTCAAGGAGTCCTTACAGAGATGCCTTGGCCTACAGGGATATAGCATTAATTTCTCATCATAGGAGCCACAGATGATTTCTGTCCCTCACCCATTTTAATGCCCCATGGACTATTAAAAATGCATATTTCAATTCAAACAGCTTGTTGGGGAGGGGAGACTAGGAAGATGAGGCTCATCCAAGCCAAAGGTCCAGACCCTAGAAAATCAGGAGCCCAGGACAGGAGTAAAGCTGAGACAGCTCCAGAATCTGGGAGGAGGTTATTTGCTGTTTTCCTTCTCCTCCCAACCCTAGATAGGAAGCAGGAGCCTCTGCTCCATCCTTCCAGGAAGCCCATGTCCTCTGGGCTTTCTAGGCCCCAGGGTACTGAGGCTCCCAGTCTCTTCCTGGCTCTGATCCTTGGGGCCTCTGTAGGAAAAGCATCCTTGGATAGGGGAAGCTGTCAGCACAGGAGGGCCAGGGAGGGATCAAATCCGCCAAGGTTTGGTGGTGAGGCTGAGAGTTGGGATATGGCCTATCAGCCGAGGGCGCCAAGGGACAAGACAAAACCAGGCCAGACACAACTGGCAGCTGAGGGCCTGCCCTTTTGGTCCACGTATCTGGGATGCCCTGTCCTCAGGAAACAGGGAGATGCTTGGTCCCAGGGCTTCTAGAGGTGCCCCCTAGGGTGAAGATTATTCCATTTCTCTGTGGCAGGTGCCCTTAGAGAGGTTGGTGGGCCTTGTCTGCCTAGATTTGGGTTTCTTTCTATGAAAAATGGGAACCTGAAACCTCTGGCCAGGTCTAAAGGGCTGATAAGAGCCAAGAAGAAATGTGGTGGGGCAGGTTTTGGAGGATGGGAGCTACGCTGGCTCTGAGGCCACAGCTCTGTGACCCCAGGGAGGGCGGACCAGTGCTAGCACTCCAGTGCCCCGTGAAGCTAGAGACCGAGAGGGTTAGAGACCGAGAGTTCGGGCCTGGGGGTGCCGGCCGGTCCCCCCTGAGTCCGCCGCGCTGGGCGGCCACTCACCGGCCCCTGTCCCCACGCCGCCCCGCTCCGGGGACAAGCAGCCCTTCTGCGAGCTCAGAAAGCCGAAGCTCGACTGCTGGAAGCGGTCAAAATCCCCCAGGGGCAGCGCGCGGTACCCAGACCTGCCGAGCATGGCTCTTGACAGGGGACACGCCCCGCGCCCCTGCACCGTGCCCGCCCTGACCAGCCAGCCTTCGCACCGCCCGGCCCCAGCTGGCTGCGGCTTCCGGCTTCTCTTGCGCCGCCGCCCGCCGCCAGGGCGCAGGAGGGGAAGACCGTCCCCAGCTCGCTCCCGCCGTCGCACAGCGCCCCCTGTGATGGGAGGACCGAACTGCGGCCCGGGCCGGGGACCTGGCCTGCGTTCCCGGGAGCCCCCAGGGGTCATCGCCTGCTCCTACTTGGCCTTAGAAAAGCCGGAGGGGAAGCTGAGCTTCTTAAGAGGAATGTCTCCAGAATCTAGGAAATGCTGTCATCAGCCTTCTTAGCCTTCATCACCCTGCCTCTCTAAGCGCACACCTGGAGGGGGCGTGCCTTACTTATCTAGACTTAGGGTTTCTCCAGGGCGTGGTCTGCAAGTTACTCCTCTTTGGGTCCCCCACAACTCAGCAAGTAGGGCCCGGCACAAAGCAGGTCTCAGTACTTATTTGCTGAATGATGACACCAGGTCACTGCAGTCAAGGTGGAGCGGGACGGCCTGGACTCTGGCGAAAAAAGAGAAATTTCATGTGCAGACCTCAGGGGGCACGGCAGAGTGAGGAGGAAGGGCACAGCACACAGCTGCAGGAGGGCGGGGGCCTCAGGGCATCGCAGAGGTGAGTCCCTCAGTCCTGCAGGTCCACAAACAGCCTACCCCTTGATCTAGGTACCCAGAAAACTTGCCTCTCCACGGCTTGAGAAAACCCAAATGTAAATCGTGAATTTACTCTGAGAAGTGTTAACTTCCAACAGGAAGTTGGGGCAGGCTGGGAGCAGGCTGTCTTCCAAAGCAAGCAAAGAAAGTTTGAAGTTTGAAGCTGGGGCACTGGCCCAGTAAGGCTCCCTGGAGCTGGGCCCCTCTTATCTCAACAGCTGGGGGTCTGGCATGCTTTGCCATTGGCCAAGAAGACCTACTTTGCTCTCCCTCACCTCTTCATACCTGGTTGCCAACTTTATCAAAAGCTTTCCCAGTGCTGCCTTCTCAGCCAGCCCCCTCACCCCAGCCCCCCATACGGCCACGGCCCACTTTCGGTCCCTTCTGCAGGTGGCTGCCCACCATATTTGGCTCTCCTACTTTGGTGGACTGATTCTAAAGGCCTGGGGGGTACCTACCAGGCTGCAGAGTAGGGCAGGTTCCTGAGGCCTCTCACAGTCCCCGGGAAGTTGGGTCTCTCCCAACCCCTGCGCCTCTATCCCCCAGACTATAAGCTTTACAAGAGCAAGGCCCTCACCATCCCTTCTAGTCTAAGTTCAAACAGAGCACAGAATGGGTACACAGGGGCCAGCATAGTGGTTGGGATGGTTTGAAGTTTGAAGCTGGGCACTGGCCCAGTAAGGCCCCCTGGAGCTGAGCCCCTTTTATTTCAGCAGCTGGGGTCTAGCATACTTTGCCATTGGCCTTTACTCTCTCCTTACCTCTTCATACCTGCCTGCCAGCTCTCCCCCTCCCTCCCTGCCTCCTCGGACTCACCAGCCTTTCCAGCTGCCACTCAAGGTAACACCCTGTTCCTGCAACCCAGTGTCCTCCCAGTGTGTCTGACTCGGGTCCCTCCTCTGCATCCTAGACCAAGCCACCTGCTCCTAGGTTGTCAGAGTGACTGTCCCAACATGTCCCTGGTTCCAAACCCTTCACCCACTCTATCACCCACAGAACTGATTCCATCTTGGCTGTGATCTCGTCCCAGCTCACCCTTTAGCCATAATTTCTCACGAGTCCCCTCTTAAATATAAAAATGGCCAAACTTAGTTCCCGAACAGGCCTTCTTGTTTCAAACCTCCATGCCTTTTGCAAGTGTCCCCCCACACATTCAGGAATCCCTGAATCCCTGGTGAATTCCCACAGCTCCTTCAAGTCCCAGCTGAGGGATCTACTTTCCAGAAAACCTCCGTTTGGGGGCTTCTGGGAAAGCAGGGTCCGCGTGTGGTTCATCCCTGTGTGCCCGGCTGCCAGCTGGAGGTGGCACAAAGCTGTGCCAGCGCGAGCCGCACAAACGGATCAAAGCCGGGGCGCCGCCCTCCCGGCCAGCTCTGCCTCCGTGCCCGGACCGGGAGGGCTGTGCGCCTGCGCCTCTCGGCCTCCTCCGGGCTCGGGCGGGTGTTCGAATCCGACGGCCCGCCTCTCCGCCCGGGGCCGCCCCGCTCGGGTCTCACTTCCTCTCGGGGGCGGGCCCCGGCCGGCGCCGCCCCTCTCCGAAGCTCGTGGGGCTCTGCCTCCTGGCTCGCGCCTCCAGTTCGGCTTTTCCTTCCGTCCTCCCGCAGCAAAACCGAGAATCGAAACTGCGCCGAGCCCGCGCAGCCGGAGTCCGCGCCGGCCGGGTCCCCGCGGCCCCGGCGCCAGCCCGCCTCGCCCCACACGCCACCATGCCGCCCCCGGAGCCCCCCGCGGAAGGCCAGCCCAGCCCCAGCCACAGCCCTGCGGAGGTACTGCTGAGTTCGGGGTGGGCTTGGGCTCCGTGGCTGTGCTGTGTAGGGGAAGGGGTGAGAAGAGAGGGTCTAGTGGGCGACTTGTCTAGTGCCTCAAAGAGTGACACAAAGAGGCAAGAGCAGACTCCAGACGCTTTTGTCTGGGACGGGAGTCGGGAGGGAAGGATGAGTAGAGGGGGGACCGGGGCGCGTGGCAGGCGGCCTGTGGCTGGCGGCTCTCCACTGAGCGCCCGGGGAAGTGCGGGGTCCGGGCAGCGGGGCAGGGTTCCCCTGCGCACTCCGGACCTTGCCACTCGGCTGCTGCCTCCGATGAAGGACCACAGATGGGAGAGAAAGGAGGCTGTAGCCTTGGGGCACTGGCCTGGAGCCAGGGGAATGCCCCGGGCATGGCGAAACTAAAACCAAGTTCCCAGATCAGAGGTGGGAAACTGGCCAAGGCCTCCCGGCTCCTGTGATTTCTCAGAAATCCTCTTGGAATGCTCTTCCTGCCCTCCTCCCGCCGCCATCGCGCCCCAAACGGACTACTTAGGTCTCTCGGTCTGTGGCCTTCCAGCCCCTTCAAGAAAGTACAAACAACATTATATTACAGCCATTTTTATTATTAGCATCATTATAATTAAGAATAATATTACTTCACAATACTAGTTAACATTTTTGAGCACTTCATATGTGCCAGGTACTGTATTTAAGTGCCTTCTTTTTGCATTTTTTTTACTGCGGTAAAATATATGTAATGTAAAAGTTACCATGCTAACCATTTCTAAGTGTACAATTCAGTGGCAGTAAGTACATTCACAGTGTTGTGTGACCATCACTACCATCTATTTCCATAACTTTTCAACATTCCAGAAACTCTGTATACCCTTTAAGCTATAGGGGAGGAAAAATGGCTTCTGTCCTAGGTTCTTTGGCTGGGCTATGAATTAAACTGACATAAGACAGATTAACAGGGGAAACCCCATATTTAATTATATACATACACTTGGGTGTCCCACAAAATGTGAAACTGAGAAGAGTCGGTGGTTGAAACTTAGGTAGCCTTCTGAGCTGCAGAAGGGAACAGAGGCTGGGGGCTACTGGGGGTGGTGGAGACAGGTTATGAGAGGGCTGAGGAGGAACCGTGTGGTGAGTAAAGTTCTCAGGTAATAAAAGTTGTCTTGGAGCAGCTCTCTTCTGATGCAGATACTTTTACTAATGTAGATTTCCTTTATAGATGTAAGTTTCTTTTTTTTTTTACAAAAGGACAGCTTTTCAGCGCTATTCCTGGGCCTGCAGTTTCTCAGAATAACCAGCTCAAAATATGCCACAGAAGAATATTTTGGGGTGGCATATTCTGATCTCCTACCGTCATATTTTGGAATGGTGTGTCCTGAGTCCCAGCAAAGCAGTAGCTCCTCACTTCCCTCTTCCCCTAGCCCATGGTAACTTCCAGTCTACCTTCTGTTCTATGAACTTACTTTCTAGATACTTATTTTAAGTGGGATCATACAGTATTTCTTTCACATAGCATAATGTCTTCAAGGTTCATCCTTGTCAAATGTATAAGATTTTGATTCCTTTTTGATGCTCAATAATGTTCAATTATATGGGTAGACCGCATTTTGTTTATCTATTCATCTGTGGATGCTTGGATTATTTCCACCTTTTGGCTATTGTCAGTAGTGCTCCCATGAACACTCGTGTACAAGTATCAGTTTGGGTCCTTGTTTTCAGGTCTTTTGGGTTTGTATCTAGGAGAATAGCTGGCTCAAATGGTGGATCTATGTTTAACTCTTTGAGGAACCCCCAAACTGTTAAGCACTATATATGAGGTTGGTACTGAGTTCCTTAAAGGCAGGATGTATCCTACACATTCCTGTATGTCAGGGTCTAGTCCTGTGCCTGGTGGGAAGTAGGTGGTCAATAAATTGTGCTCTAAGGCCTGGGTAAATGGGAGCATTGAGGTGCTGATAAGCCAGGGTTTTGCATCATCCAATGGTAGGAATGGAATATGAGGTCTCACTCTAGCCTTCAGCCACAGGGGTGGATAGCCGGTGGGTAGGGACTCCTGGGACTTCTCTAGGCCTCACCCCAGTCTCTGGTCTCCCAGCAATCCACGGAGGAGGAGGAGGAGGAGGAGTTCCAGTTCCTGCGCTGCCAGCGCTGTAAGGCGGAAGCCAAGTGCCCCAAGCTGCTGCCTTGCCTGCACACGCTGTGCTCTGGATGCCTGGAGGTGCCGGTCACGCAGTGCCCCATCTGCCAGGAGCCCTGGCCCCCAGGCTCTGACTTGCTACCCCTGGATAACGTCTTTTTCGAGAGTCTGCAGCGGCGTCTGTCGGTGCACCGGCAGGTCATGGACGAGAGGGCAGTTTGCGTCCGCTGCAGAGAGTTGGCAGACTTTTGGTGCTTTGAGTGTGAGCAGCTCCTCTGTGGCAAGTGCTTCGAGGCGCACCAGTGGTTCCTCAAGCACGAGGCCCGGCCCCTGGCCGAGCTGCGCAGCAAGTCGGTGCATGAGTTCCTGGATGGCACGCGCAAGTCCAACAACATCTTCTGCTCCAACCCCAACCACCGCACCCCTGAGCTGACCAGGTGAGTGGGCCGGCGCGGTGTGGGGTGGTGCATCCTGAGAGCCAGGCAGAGTCACAGCTGGGATCAGGGAACTTCTAGGGCCTCACAGCTCAAAATGTGGTTCGCAGACATACACCATCTGTAGAGATGACCACAATTTATGCTACTAGTCCCCACGCCGGTGGATAGTAATACTTTCCAGTTTCTACTTGTAATAAATAATGCTGCACAATCATCTTTGCACCTTTATCCAGTAATTTCTTTAGGATATATATTTAGAAGTACTGTTGCTGGGTGAGGGGATATGAAAATTTTACATTCGATACATGTTACCAAACTGCCCTTTAGAAAGTCTTAGAGTCGAATTTTCTGTGAGCCCAAGGGAATCTCAGTAAGGCTGGATTCTAGGATCAGATGAATGTAGTTTTATTAATAATTTCTATCTGAAAAGTCGAAGCTGTAACATCCAGGAGTGCTATCTGCAAATGTATGAAAAAAAATCAAATCCAGTTACAATTATTTTTATTTTTTTTTTTTTTTGAGACAGAGTCTCACTTTGTTGCCCAGGCTAGAGTGAAGTTACAATTATTTTTATTAAACTGATTTTAATTCAGTTTTTAAATAGGTAATATAGTCACATGGTTACAAAATTTATAAGGCTAGAGACAGCAGAATCTTCGGTTCCTTCCCATCTGCCTAATCCCCACCACTTCTCCCATCTACAGATAACCATTGTTACTAGTTTCGAGTTTGTCACACAGCTGGTTTTTTAATATATACCCAGATAGGAGTAGTCCCATAGGGTCTTCTTTTCCCCTCTTTTAGCATAACTATGAAGTTTTGACCACCCAGAAGTAGATTGCTGTATGAAGTTCTTTGTGTACGGCTGCCTAGGAATCCACTTGCAAAGCCAGTGTGTTCTTCACTGGTTCCTGCCACAGCCCAGTGCTACATACCTGCTTCCAGATATGTTCCTCCACTGCCAGAACTAGCTTTCCTCTCAGATTCCTCAACAGCAGCTATTACTAGTTTAATTTGCATTTCTTTGCTTATTGGTGAAGTTGAGTGGCTTTTCATTTGCTTATTGGCCATTGTGTTTCTTCATCTGTGAATTGCTAGTTTAGGTCCTTTGCTTGGTTCCCCCTCTTTGAGAAATTAGTATCTTTATTTGTAAAAGCCAGTTACAGTGCAAATGTTCCCCCGCCCCCATCCCCATGTTGACCGTTTGTTGGTTTCACTTGGTATGCGGTATCATGTTTAAAATAACTCTTTAGGTAGGCCAGGCACGGTGGCTCCTGCCTGAAATCCTAGCACTCTGGGAGGCTGAGGCAGGCGGTTAGCTCGAGGTCAGGAGTTCCAAACTAGCCTGAGCAAGAGCAAGACCCCGTCTCTACTATAAATAGAAAGAAATTAATTGGCCAACTACGATACCATAGAAAAAATTAGCCGGGCATGTGCGCATGCCTGTAGTCCCAGCTACTCAGGAGGCTGAGGCAGGAGGATTGCTTGAGCCCAGGAGTCTGAGGTTGCTGTGAGCTAGGCTGACACCATGGCATTCACTCTAGCCTGGGCAACAAAGTGAGACTCTGTCTCAAAAATAAAATAAAATAAGTCTTTATTTAAGGTAGTCAAATCATCAATCTCCTTTATGGTGTCTGGCTTTGATGCCCCCCAGGGGAGCTTTTTCCATGCCAATATTAAAAATATTCTTTTTCATATTCTCTTTTAATAATTGTTTTGTTTTTATAATTAAATCTTTAATTCATATAGAATTTATTTTTGTGCATGGTATAAGAGAGGACTCTGCACTTCGTTTTTCTCCCCAAATGTAAATCCAGTGCTCTCAGAAACATTTATTGGATAGTCTACTCTATGCCCTTTTTACTAAACGCCCATGTAGTCATTGGTATGTCTGTAAATCTCTGTTCCATGCCAATGATCTGACCATTGCTGCTCTGATCCTTACTGCTGTACGATTTCTGTAGCTTTTCCCCATTCTTCTTCAAAAATAATTTGGCTTTTTTTTTTCCTTACAATTTATGCAGTTTCAAAACTTATATATTCATGGGGATTTTGATTGAAATTGCATTAAATCTGGGGAGATTTTATACCTTTATTCACATATATATTTTTTAAATTTTTTTTTTCTGTTTAATTTTTTCTTTCTTTTTTTTTTTTTTTAAGGCTGGGTAAGTGGAGCAGTGGGAGTAGAGAAGGAACAAAGGAATCTGTAACTGGTTGTGATCAATTAGTTGTAAACACCACTGCACTAATGCTCTTAATTTATGTATCTTAATATTATATTTAGCCATCTTTATTGAACTCTTTTATTAGTTCTAGTAAGTTTTTCAGTTGATTTGTTTGGATTTTCTAGGAAACAACATCATCTAAAAATTGGGTTTTTTTTTTTTCTTTCCACAATTTGTACCTATTACCACTTTTAATAGCTTCATTTCATTGTCTAGACCCACCAAAACAATATTGAATAAAGTGGTTAGAAAAGGCAACTTTTATTTTGTTCCTGTATTTTTTATTTAAAAATTTCTTTAAATTGGGGAGGCACAGCTTCAGTATGAGTGAAAGGATACACTCCCAATTCCTTTCTTTAATGAGAACGTTTCTTATGTTTTCTTGTTAAGTATGATGTTTTTTGATTTTGTAACCCTGTTATCGATATTTTAAATTATCACATTAAGAAAAGAAAGTTACGTCCATTCCGGTTTTACTAATAGTTTGTTTGTTGTTATTTTGTTTTATTTTAACTCCAGAAATAGTGTCTTTTTGGACTTTATTGAAGGTGTCTTTCCCTTTTAGTATGACAAATTAATCAGTGTGCTTCTTTATGTTGAACCATTCTTTAATTTCCAGGAGGAAAAGCCCTACTTGCTCATGATATACTATTATCTTAACTTTATAGTTAGGTTTTCATCTAGTAATATTTATTTATGCATTATCTGTAATTCATAAATGTATCAATTTTTGTATGATGTGTGTGACTTCTTCATCAGGTTTTCTTACCCATTTTACACTAATCTCTTTAATGAATTTGTAAGTTTCATTCTTTGAACATGGTAATACAGTCATCCTTCAGTGTCTGTAGGGAGTGTTCCAGGGTTCCCCCACAGATACCAAATCCACAGAGGTCCCCTGATGGAAAACGGTGCAGTATTCTGCATATAACCAACGCCACCTCTCCCTCCGTGCACTTAAATCATCTCTAGGTTACTTACAATACCTTTACATACAATGGTAAGTAACTGTATAAGGAGTTCTATACTGTACTTTAAAATTTGTATTATTTTTATTGCTTTCTTTTTTTTTTTTTTGAGACAGAGTCTCGCTTTGTTGCCAGGCTAGAGTGAGTGCCGTGGCATCAGCCTAGCTCACAGCAACCTCAACTCCTGGGCTCAAGCAATCCTCCTGCCTCAAGCCTCCCAAGTAGCTGGACTACAGGCAATGTGCCACCATGCCCCGCTAGTTTTTTCTATATATATTATTGGCCAATTTAATTCTTTCTATTTATAGTAGAGATGGGTCTTGCTCTTGCTCAGACTGGTCTCGAACTTCTGACCTCGAGCAATCCGCCTGCCTTGGCCTCCCAGAGTGCTAGGATTTCAGGTGTGAGCTACCGAGCCCAGCCTATTTTTATTGTTATACTGTTATTTTTTATTGTTTTTTTTTCCCCAATATTTTGATCTTCAGTTTGTTGAATTCACACAGATCCTGAGGGCTGACGGTATATTTAAATTGTTTAGCATAGTGCCTGGCACATATTAAGTACTCAGTAAATACTAAAATCCTATTACAGTCTCTCTGTTCTAGAGCAGTTTAAAGAACATAAGAAATAGAGGCTTATAAAAATTTTTTGAAAAACTATCTGGGGACAGTTGCTTTTTTCAAAGAATAGATTTTTGAGACCGATTCCCATGTTTGCCATGGTATTGATCTATATTGGATCTTGAGTCAGATTTTCTGGAAGATTTTCTAGTTCATCCTGAGTTGTCTTTCATAATTTAAAAATTTTCTCTATACCTGTAATCATACCCACTTTCTTATTTCTAGTGTTGTATATTTTAAATGGTCTTTTCAAAGTACTATATAAGCTTTTAGTCTGTCCTTAGATTGCTTACTGATATTAATATTTTCCTTCTTTCTAATTAATCATTTTGGGGTTTTTTGTCTAATTTTTGTAATTTTTGTCATTGTTCATTACGTAGCTTCTTGAACATTTAATTCATTTATTTACAATCTTTTTTATTAATAAAAAATGTTTAAGGTGTCACTTCTTTGCATATGGCTTTGGCTGCATGCCATAATTTTGATAAGCAGTGTTCTCATAGTTATTTCTCAAATACCATTTCAGTCTTTTCTTAAAAATTTTCTCTTAAAGAGTTTTAAAGAAGAATCTTCTAAAATTTTCAAGTGGTTTGTAATGTTTGGTTTCTGTTATTTGATATTAATATCTACAGTATGGTCAGTTAATATAGCCTTCTATGGACTAGCAAATTCCTAGCAATAATCTTTGGACTTGAAAAATTATATTTGTTGTACAGTAAACATACATATATATTCATACACATATATATATAAAATACATGTGTATGTATTTATCTGTATGCATATATGCATATATACAAGTAGGTTCTACTGTGTATGTGTATCTCTATTCAAACTTTCTACCTTTCCTTCCATTTTATTTTACCAATATAATGGAATTAATATGTGTGTGTGTATTTTATATACACACACACTAGAACCTTTTTCATCTACCACCATGAAGAATAGAATATAAGCATTCTCCCAGAGAAGACAAATCCTTTAGTATACTTTTTCTTCTCCCCTCTTTCCCTTTCTCCTTTCAGATTTAGTTGAAAAAAATGTGAACTTTTACCCAGATTATTACCAAACTTTTTATTTTCAACATCCTTTCTTAATAGTTACTAAGCTTCGTGATCACATTACAACTCACCTGTTAGCCATAACTCTAGACTTTAATTGGTTTCATTGCTCATAGTAATGTT